GACACGGCGGGGGGGACCCGCTCCGTGCTGGAGCTGGAGCTGGCGGAGCGGGGCCGGCGCACCGTGCGGCTCTCCCAGTACGTCTACGTCCTCCTGCACCCGGGCAAGCAGGACGACAGTGCCGAGGCCAACCCCGAAGGACCAGCCCTGGGGGCCACCGAGCCCCAGCCCAGCACCTGGAGCCTCCTCTATGGAAAATCTGTCCTGTGCCAGCCCCTGCAGCTCAGCTGGAGGCAGGACGTCATGGTGCACTTCGTGGTACCCGGTAGGTGACAGCAGGACACGTCTCTCCAGGGTCTCTGCTGCCCCCTCTGCTCTCCGGCCCTCTGGCGAGAGGAAGGCAACCCCTCTGCTCCCCAGTTGCATCCCCCAGGCTGGCCTAAGGGTGATGAGGTTCTCTGTTCTCATGAGGCGTTGAGGCTGTCGTCGCGAGGGGTGTTTTGGTTGGGAAGGGGTTGCTCTTGGGACCCGGGTGGTGTGAGCCTGAGGGATGTTTGTGGCTGTGTCTGGCAGTGAAGAACCAAGCCCGCTGGGTCCAGCAGTTCATCTCGGACATGGCCCACCTGTACGAGGCTACGAAGGACGCCAACTTCAATGTCATCCTGGTGGACTTTGACAGTGATGACATGGATGTCGAGAAAGCCCTTCGGGATGCCCGATTGCCCCGGTAACCCACCCTCACGAGCTCGGGGTCCCACCCTACTCCCCTGGAGGCTGCCAGGGAGGTCTGTGGCCATCCTGATGGTGCTCACCCAACCTGCTGCTCCTTTCCCAGCCCAGCTGGGTCTCTGCCTCTCTGCCCCTCTTCTCCTCCTTTTTGGGGTTTAAACTTGCTTCCCATGTGGAGGAGTCAGAGATGCAGAAACCCCCTCTGCCTGCATGGGGAACCCTCAACATGAGCTGTAGGGACCTGACCCCCCCTTCTGAGAAGGTCCCGTCCCCTTGCTGGTGGTCTCTGTCCCCCTCTTGGCTGTGTCCCCTTTGGCCACCAGCACTGACCACCCTGCCCTCTCTCCTCAGCTACCAGTACCTGCAGCGCACGGGGAACTTTGAGCGCTCAGCTGGGCTGCAGGCTGGTGTGGACGCGGTGGAGGTGAGTGGTGGGACAGGGAGTGGAGAGAGAGGATGAGGGGGAATGGTTTTAAGCCGAAAAAGGGAAGATTTAGGTGGGATTTTAAGAAGAAATTCTTCACTGTGAGGGTGGTGAGACCCTGGCCCAGGTTGCCCAGGGAAGCTGTGGCTGCCCCATCCCTGGCAGTGTTGAAGGGCAGGTTGGATGGGGCTTGGAGCAGCCTGGGCTGCTGGGAGGTGTCCCTGCCCATGCAGGGGGTGGGACTGGATGGGCTTTAAGGTCCTTTCCATCTCAAACCAGTCTGGCATTCTATGATATGACCAGCCCTCGCCTTGGCTCCTCTGTCCTGGAGCTCTTTCACCTCTGATCCTCCCCACTTGCGCCTGTCCCCTCCCGCAGGATGGGCACAGCATCATGTTCCTCTGTGACCTGCACATCCATTTCCCCAACAACATCCTGGACAGCATCCAAAATCACTGCGTGGAGGGCAAGCTGGCCTACGCGCCCATCGTCATGCGGCTGGGCTGCGGCAGCTCCCCGCGGGAGCCCAACGGTGAGCGCCTGGGGCACGTCCCCCATCACCTGGAAAATGCCCCCCGGCTGCCCCAGGAGAGCACAGGGGGTGCAGCCTGGCTTGGCTGCGTGGGGAGAGTGGGTTTGGTTTGATCCAGCAAGGTGGGGTTCAAGACCAAGGGTGTTCAGGGCATGTTGGGTGTGATGCCACCCAAAAAAACCTCTGCTCTGGAGCCAGGCTGGGAGAGTTGGGGTGTTCAGCCTGGAGAAGAGAAGGCTCCAGGGAGACCTTAGAGCAGCTTCCAGTGCCTGAAGGGGCTCCAGGAAAGCTGGGGAGGGGCCTGGGACAAGGGATGGGATGAGGGCAGAGGGTTTCAAGCTGAAAGAGGAGAAATTGAGATGGGATCTTGGGAAGAAATCCCAGTGTGGGATTTTAAACCAGGCTGTCACCCATTGCATCCCCGGGCGGGGTGGCAGTGATGGGGATGGATGCGTGGTGGGCAGAGGGGCTGGGATGTTCCTCAGGCTTTGGGGTAGTGCAAGGTGACAGCCTGGGAATGTGGGGTCCCCCTGCACCCCCTGCCTCATTGCCCTCTCCCCTCCAGGCTACTGGGAGGTGAATGGCTTCGGCCTCTTCGGCATCTACAAGTCGGACTTTGACCGTGTGGGAGGGATGAACACGGAGGAGTTCCGAGACCGCTGGGGCGGGGAGGACTGGGAGCTGCTGGACAGGTGAGGCTGAGGGGCCCAGCACCCCCCAGGGCAGGTGTACCCCCTGGGAAACCCACTGTCCCCTCCATCGAGCAGGCTAAGGGCTGGGGCGAGGGGCACAGCGGCCCTTTGGAGGGCCTGGGTCTGTCCCCTTGGTCCCTGAGCCGCTGCCCCTCTGTCCCCCCTCCGTCCCTCTGGCTGCAGGGTCCTGCAGAGCGGGCTGGAGGTGGAGCGCTTGCGTCTCAGGAACTTCTACCATTACTACCACTCCAAGCGTGGCATGTGGAACGCCCGCAGCAAGAAGCCCCCCAAGGACTAAGGCCCCGAGCCCGGCCTGCAGCCACCAACCCCCCGTGCCCCCCGGTGGCAGGGCCACCA